GCCTCAATCTCTGAATATCAGCGAACATTTTGAGCTATTTCTCATTAAAATCCAAAGAGTTCATAACTTACTATGGTAATTTGTATGAAGAGAGTTGATAATGTTGGTGGGGTCTGAAAGTGGGGTTGGTCGGATACTTTTGTCCTAGTACTGTACTTACTAAGTACGGGAGTAGTACTCCATACGCGCCGGCAACTGCCGGTCTTGGCAACTCATGACATCAACATCATTTTTGATATAGAGTAAGTATATCTAACAAGTCCATTCATTGAGTCCCTATCCGCTGTTTCTATTGGAAAACGCAGCGCCAGCAATTCTTGACAATATCACCAAGGATTTGTAGGAGTTTCGTAGTGCAACAGGATTTTGTGGGGCGAGCTGGGAAGGCAAGTTTACCGCCAGGGAAAAAGAGATTACCATAACCTTTTCCCCCAATGCCCGATTCTGCAACTCCTTCAACTCAAATGAATGGCCTGCCACCATCGTAATGCCTTTAAAAACTCGATGGTGTCAGAATCCATGCGCATATGATACGTATCTGTTACGTATCAGCAGGATGATACAGGGTCCCCGCATGCGAAACGCACGAAACGCTCTTGTAACTGGTACGCCCTGATATCTATGGCAGTGAGCATTGCTATACGCATTAGACGCCAGCTGCTGTTTCTGAGTCATTACAGTAATGCGCTTCTATGCTATTAGTATGAGCAAATGCTCCTCTTGATAGGTGTAACTCAATTGATTGAATCCTCTCTCTCTGGATACTGCTTATCTAATCAGTATCTCCGTACGTTATTTGCTTCATCTTCTAACAGATGGTTGAACAACCTTTACTTCGAATCTAGCATCAAGCATCGCGATTGGTAGTCCCAAACCGCGCGTAAGAACCATCACCATCACCATCTACCCGGCTGCTTACCCCTTCAACATATAAGTCGACTGGTAAATCCGTGCGTATTCAGCGTGTTTTCTCAATCTAACCTAGATCCTAAATTCCAAAATCATCCCAGATGGATAGATGACCCCTCATCGTCTACTCCATCTTCGAGAAAACGAGCTTGATGATTTATGCCTCTCATGGATCGAAAGGTAAATCTCTCAGAAAGAAATCCAAAAGAAAGCATGGCTCTGTGCGTATACAAATCTTACTCGACGACGACGACATCCTTCTCTGATAATGTGGTTTCTATCTCTGAACATCAAGGGCCGCAGAGGAAAAGCAACAAGTACTATGGTAATGCTAGGTATCTCAGCGTTTACGAGGGATTGGAAAAACAGAATGAGCAGCAGCTGACTTGACGCTTCCGTCCGTGACACCCTACTACCAAAGTCCAACACCACGTGCCCATGCTAGACCGTCGCGTTTCGTCTTCTACCGTACATCTTCATGTTTGACTAATTAGCGCCAGTGGAGATATCAGATGCTTGTTCCCGGAAGGATTTACTTCTGTGATAGCATCTCGGTATCCCTTCAAAGTGACTAAGATGATGCGCGCCGTTGTTTCCAGAACCATCTGGTGTCGTTGCTTGGGGAGGAATAGTCCCAGATCATTGTACCTCACTGACAATCTGCTGGGCCCGACTCAGACTCTCCACCATCTGCTGGCATTCTTTCCTTCTTCGGATGGTGTAATCGCTCTCCCTGAGCAGGTCGTCTAACTCCTGGGTCCTATACATCTGCTCTAGAAGCTCACGCTGCATCTCGTCTTTTGTGTATCTAGCATGATCGTTAGTTGGTGAATTGATTGACAGGATTGAGCAACACTTACTGTACAAGATTTAGCATGATGGCTTTAGGGACCATGTCAATCATTGTTCTTCGCGTGATGTTGAAGTAACTGTTGATGAGCAGCTTGATCACTTCCACTTCTTGGTTCTCTCGTTCCGACAAAGTGCCCGATGCTTTGAGAGTAGCAGGTGGAGCCTCCATCGCTGCCATCTTCTTCTTGTTTTTGCTAGCAAAGAAGCTTCCGAAAAAGCCAGAGTTGCCATCGGAGCCGTCGGTTGGCAAGGAGGGTGAAGCAGCTCGTGGCTGCATTGCTGCAGGGATCGGTTTTCCGGTCTTGGGATCCACTTGAGTAGGTTTGGTCGAGTTGTGCCGATCATTCACAATTGCCATGGCTCGGTGACCGTTGAGAAAATCAGGGTGGCCAGTGTTTATGTAACAAGCCTCCATAGCGACCAGGTCTCTAACAAGCTTATTTGTTGGGTCCATGGACTTCTTGAAGAAAGCTATGACCACGGCATGGAAGCGCTCTTTCAGTTGAGGATACCGCCTGAAAAGATGTTTGTTGAGAAGCTGACCCAGGATTCGAACAAGCTCATCATAGACGAGGCTGACGCATTTCAGAGAAGGATCTTCTAACCTCTTGATTTGCTGTTTGACAATAAGCTCGAAAGCTGTTGTGCCCACGAAAAGGGCAGGAGAAGATCCGGAGGAGTTGTACAAGATCGTTCGAATGTCAATATCCTTTACCTGGTCGAAAGGATCCACGGCTTTAATGCCATTTGAGTATAACTCGTGGAACACGAAGGAGATACGAGCACCACCGGACAGCTCAAGACTAGACAATTCTTGGTTGTTCCCTTCCAGGACAGTGCGGTATTCCTGGCTGAATTCGGTAATGATGTTGAGGACGATATTGGTCGGGTTTCCTAAGATCGAATCACCGAGCTGGTTTAACTCGCTTGTGTATTTCTGCAAGGAGGTAGAGATACGCGTCTTGATTTCGGGCAGCGTTTGTTTGATGTGCATCATCAGGATCTAAGTAGAGTCAGTGCTGGGCAACCTTGCACGCATATATGGCCTACCAGATTGAGTTTTCTGGCAAGGTAAGGTGTCCCACAATAAGAGGCTTTGTTACGGTACGCCTTGTGGTTCTCGAAGAAGTTCTTCTCGGCCTCGAGGGCCGCTGAGATTTTTTTCCTGTTTTCAATATCTCGTTGACCACGATTGACGACAGGGACGTAGCCAAGCCGCAAAGGAATGATCCGCCCGGCGAGAATGTCAACCACATCAGTCCCTTCATCCATCAAGTCTACTTTGGTTAGTACGCCGATTGTCCGCTGCCCTTCCTGATCGACCTCCCTTGCCATCTTTAAGCCATCTGAGTTGGCCAAGTCTACGTTTGCTGCCGTCACAGCCAATATGATGGCATTCGGTTTCTGTATCTGCTTCAAAACCATCTCCCGAATCTGTCTTTCGATGTCCTTTGGTTGGTCTCCAACGGGAACTTTAGTAAGACCGGGTAAATCGACAAGTGTGAGCGTGAGGACATTAGGTGAGTATATTCGGAGGTTGATAGGAGCAGGTGATATGCCAACATTCCGCCCTGCCTTAGCTTCTGTCTCCTTGACGATCTCATCTCGGATCTTATTGAAATCGAAGAATTTCTGGCCAGGGATGTGAAGAAACTCCCCCCACTCGTCAACGTTTGCTTCTCTATCTGTTGTCTTTTTGAGCTCATCCTCCGTCACGCCGTTGGCTTGTAACTTCTCTGGCGAAGGCTTATTGATCAGCTGCAGGACAAGTGGTCGTCGAGTGACAATGCCTGATCCTCGCGGAAGACTGTAAGTGTAATCAGGAATGCTGAATCAAATACTGCTGCAGAGGATATATACAAATCCCTGCCAACTATGTTCTCTAAAACGGAACTCTTTCCACTAGACTGCGATCCAACCACCACAATTTGAGGGAGATCTATCGGATTTTGGACCTGCAAGGGCAGCACGTCACTAGGGGCATCACTTGCATCCCCAGGTGGATAATACTCACACCCACTGTGGTGAACACATCCTGCAGCTTATTGACAAGGGCGATGAGGCTCGGGTCGTTCACGTTGATCCTGGAGCAGGTTGTCAGTGCTCGACCACGACGGAAAAGCCAGTGACTGTCACTTACGAGTAACCCCCAGGGGCAGCAGCCATGGTAGGCGCAAATGTCACGGATTAAGACTCGCTCAGAAGTGAGCTTGAGGAGCATCGGAGAAGGATAAAGGCGAGGCGACAAGTCAACAAGAGAAATCTCGAGAGCAATTTGCAGTGGGTGTCGTTCAGGAAAAGTATGTTGCGTATTGAATTGTTGTTTAAGGTCGAGTCGTAAGATGTGGCTTGACAATCTCGAACTTGGCGTCAGCAGAAGTACTGTAATGAGGCGGTGCATGACTTCGACTTCTTGTTCTTCTCAACGTTCTGGCACAACCAGGCACATGCCACGCGTCCTGTGACAACAGAAACCTAATGATGCTGAAATAATGCTGCAGCCTACCATGGCGTGAGCAGTGATATCGTATCGCCTAATACATAATTAAACCCAACAAAACCCCTGGACATGTACACCATGGTAACGAGTTCATATAAATTGACATTCTATCTAGTGACACCAAAACCTGCAGAGATCCATGCTCGGTGTTTCTGAGCATATCAGCGCCATAGTCTGGCGCTATGGAGCTGAGAAAAGCACACCTTTAGCTATACTGGCATGGATGTTCCTTGACGCTATACACCAGGCTTTAGACCTCCAAACCCAATGATGCAATCGTTACCCAATCTATATGTTACCCTTCATAGATGTCAAACGCCTGTGATACCCTAGTTGAATGCTAAGCCGTCGTTTAAGTAAGCCACCCGAGGTTAGGGACGTGGCTAGAGATTGCTGCCGCCCATGAAGGTGGACCGTATCGCGCTCATCCGAGTATAGCTGTTACTGGAGATGGGTCGTCGGTCAGATGACGGGACGGCTTCACTTGGTGGGACCGAGTTTGACCATCTGCATCATGAAGTCAGCTTGTTGGGCTTCAGACACACGAGCTTCAAAAACATACATCCTAACACGACGATCATCACCTGCCGAAGCGAACATCCCCGGATCGCATGGATTCCATGCAATTGCATTTACACAAGATGCATGCCCTTTAAGCTTCTCGATAAGAATACCATTCTCCTTGTGCCAGACATAGATCATGGAATCTGAGACATATCAATATCGAAAACATCTGTCAGATACAGCCGAAGAGGATTACCTTCACTACCGCTTAGGACAAAGTTCTCTGCTGCTCCACCGAAACAACTTCTGATGATATATGTACCTTGCGCCTGACCTTCGAATGTTCTGATGAGAACGCCAGTTTCTACCTCGAGCAACTGGATTTCTCCATTCGACAGGTTGACCAGCATGTTTTTGCTGTCCTTAGTCACACTGACACAGGTCAATTTAGCAGGGAATGCTTGACTGTACTCCTTCTCGAATGTGTGGAAATTGAACACATGAAGGTGCTTCTCGGAGTCGATGACCACTAGTCTTTGACCATCAGGACTTATGGCACAGTCTTGAGCGCGAAAACCGCCGCATGAGTTTAAGCTGGTCCTGAAGTCTGAAGATCTTAAACTCCATTGGCATATCGACGAGTTTTTCTCCAGAGCTGATGTAACAAAAGAGAGACCGTCGGGTGCCCATGAGGCACTTGACACTGGTGTTTCATGATCTACCGTTACGAGACAGGTGCCACTCTAAGTCTTGTGTAAGCATTCATTTCAAGCAACAGAAATAGAAAGCTTTCTTACAGAAACCTCCCACACCCGAGCTTTGTTATCCATAGAGCAGCTTATCAACTTTGAATCATCCGGGCTCCAGGTGACATATGTAACTCTTTCTTCGTGATCTGTGAATCGGTGTAGTATGGTAAAGGTCTCAGTCTCGTAGATTATCACTGTCCGGTCCTTACTAGCAGTTGCCAGCTTGGTACCATCGTGCGAGAACTCTAAATACCAAACCTCATCAGTGTGACAATCAAGCTCTAACATTGTTCTCAGTGGGAACTTATCCCGGTCGCACATGTGATCAGCGTAAAGCGACGGCGGTGAAGCGGTATTGTGGTAAAGACAGTTGTTGATTTGACTTTGCTTTACCTGATTCAGGAGATGTGCAAGCCTGTGCTCTGGAATCATTACCGATGGTGATATTGATTCTTGCGAGATTAGTACGGACCACCAGCGACCAGATTGTGTGCTTACTTGTCAACTCTTGCAACAGGTGCTTGCGAGAGTCCGTAATCGAGCCATTTCGCCTTGCTTGAGCACGCCAATCTTCCGCTGGACACATTAATAGGCTGCAAGATGTCAGTCTCGTCTTGTCCTCCACACTGTTTGCATCAAAAGACTTGCCTTGTTAGAGCATGCAAATGATGTATGTCATGATTTAGCGGTGTCAGCTCCTGTCGCAATACTGCCAGAGCCTTGCTAAGGTCACGTTGATCCAGGTACTCCAAGAACTTTTGTTCCCGCATCCAAAAGAGCATTTGGCTCTTGTCCGCACCCTCTGCAAGAACCAGCCCGGCAGGCCCATCAACGACGAAATTCGACATAGCAGATGCCTTTCCGTCAACACCATGATATGAACCAAGTAAGATAGCTTCGGCGTCTGTCCATTGTCCATCCATAATGGCTTGCCGGAAAGCAGCAACGGAGGGACTTTCCAATTCATAGTGGCTTTCTCTGCTCAGACTCGTAGCAGCGTCGCTGTAGCCCATATCATAGAGCCCTTGTATTAGTATCCTTGTTACTTCTTCTCGATTGTGCCCATGGTAGGTAGGTGAACGGACGGGCGAGGGTGATTTGACAGAGCCATTCGATTGCGAGGGACCCATCCCATTTGACGCTGGTTGTGATGGCGAATGGCCATTGATGGAGTTGGACAATGTCACTTTCTTCGTTGTTGAGCCGTTGGAGATGCCTGCAAATCCATTTGACGCTATATGTGTACCTCTGTCATCTGGGCGCATGTTGCTCTCAACCAAACGCCTGCGCTTCGCTGGTCGTCTTCGCTCTGGCCTGTCAACAGGCGAACCAGTTTTGTCAGTAGTGTCGATTACTTCAGTCCCAATCCCGTCCGGCTCAGCTATCAACAAATCTCCGCCTAAGCCCTGGGATGTGTCTTGGGATATGGGAGATGAACGACGTCGTCTTCGACGAGAGCTGCGGGTTCTGGGAAGCTGGTCCCCTGGCACACTCTGTGAGGCAATCGTAGTATTAGGTGATAATACAGCAGCAAGAATAGAAGACGTTGGATTTGTGAAGGAGGGGTCAGTGTCGGAAGAAGCCTGTAGGAGGGTCGGAATGGCTGGGTCGTCGGTAGTGGATGGGGTAGTTGTATTCGTAATATTTTCGTCTGCCAGGTCGACGGGGCGGCAGTGCCGCAGGACCTGGCGGAGTTAGGACCTCAGGACCTCAGGAAAGGTACAGAATCTGTCTGTACTCTTTGCTAGGGTTAAGCCCGAGAGAGGGGAACTGCAGTGCCAGATGCTTCTTTACTTAGGGTTGAAGAGGATACCCGCTGTTGTAGAGGGACAAGAATGACAGGATGAACTCTAGAGAGGAGATATCAGACTAGAGAAGTGTTTGCATACGCGTCACAAGCAGTGTTGAAGGAGGGTCACGTCGATGCGGAGCTCATGCTTCAGCACCAAGAGTGGCTGCAGGTACTTTCCGCTGCTGTGTTAGATACGTGACAGAGACCTCTAGGAATGTCATCTGACCCCTAGGACTGGGAAGCAAGACGCAGACTGTTAACAGTCTGGAGGACTGGAGAGATTTGGTGAAGGAAGGAGTACAGGTGTATGATGTCGGTCATCTGGCGGCCCGCCAGTTGGTCCATATGTTACGAAAACAAGAAGACACCAAGCTTATCTGATGCTGAAGTACCTCGCACCACCTACAACTTTACAGTCTATGGAATACACAGTCTACCATTACATTTCATTTCGCGGAAAGAACAAGTCATCATCGGTTCATCCGCATCACTTGTGAAGACATCGCTGCTTGTTATATTGCCCGCTGCCAGTGCCAGACTTAAGAGATGGCCTACACAGCTTAGAACCTACCGATACTAGATACCTCCACACACTCCAACAGGAAGGCAATGCGACCAGAGCCTTGACCGCAGGAGCTTCATGAATGGTAACACGTGCTACCTGGCGGTGAGAGAAATGATTTGCTCATATGCATCAGCTGGTAAAATCATCATTCGTACTAACTACACGACTGTGGACTTAGTGGACGAGTCACCTGCTCAGTGAATCCTAGTTTCTCGGCATTTCATCGGATCTGAATGTTGAGGGAATGAATAATGCGAATGAGTCTGGATGCTATCTCCATGAACATGCCACAGCTTTAACGGTCGAGGACGATGACAAGAGAGAGGTTTGACTCAACTCGTTGCCACTTAAGCGTATGAAAGTATGCTGCTGGCCTCTAGAAACATCAGAAAGCGAATTCGATCAATCAAAGTCGCCAGTCTGGAGTGCTCTGTCAAACTGTAGAAGATATACTAGAATCTACGTGCTCAAAGATGAATCACAGGAACGACGCAGGAATCTCCCATGATCTTCCATAAAAAAATGCTGTAGAGCGAAGTACAGATCACTCCCTGTTAACCCACTCAAGCCTGCGAATCCGACTTGGCCAAAAACTATGTTGATTCCATCACTCGTGGAGATGCCCTTGACAGCCATGGCTCCATTCCAATCATGAAACTTAGAGGCAATTTGCGGCAGATACTCTTCAAATGATATATGTTCACTGGAAGGGTTCCAAAATCTCCGCTCCAGATCCATTTTCTGCAAGGCGTTTACCAACACTCTGCGCTATCAGAAAGAAGCCACCTTGGGAGTGCTGTTATAGTAAGAATGCTCGATGTGTTTGGTTTGCTTGTGCGCCAAGCTAACCATTCAAGGCAGCCTCCAAAGTGGAACCATCAGCTGAGCGGCATTCCATGGGGCTTCTGGGAAGACGCTTCAGCATCAAGACCTGTACCCCGTGATCCTCAATTGAAATAGACTGGTGGAACGCTGGTTACCACATCAGAGAAACCATCCGTTTGCACTTTTGACAGATGACCATCAACATTTTCCTTAGCCCTGTCAGTAAATTAATAAAGATATAAGTGCTTGGTACTCAAAATTCGCAGCTGCAGATGAGGCCTCCTCCTTCCACCTGATTAGTAGGTCTTACCTGTAAGTCCATTAGCACCCTGAAACACCTCCATCATCAAACAATCAGTCGCTCCCTTTACGGAGGGCAGCTTTCTCAACAGATGGGATGATTCGCAAACATAGCTGGTAGCTTGGCAGTGGTTTGAATAAATAGTCCAAGGTTGAACGCTCTCAGGCTATCAGTGGGTCACGAAGTGTATAAGAGTGTGTATAAAAGAAAAATCCTAATAGCAGTTGATGTATGGGATATTGGCGTCGAATATTACAGAGAGGGGTTCCGATAGGCGTGGAATATCAGACCAGGGCAGCCAGTTCCTGGAATGGTTGGTTACCATACAAAAGAGGTATCCAGTAACTCTCCGTTCAGTCTGGAAACGTATTTATAGTTGGTATGAGATGTCATGTATCGCAGCTTGAGACAATGTTGGTAGGCGATGTAAAAGGTGGTAGGAGCAACTTGCAAGGTGACAAGTAACACCAATTGTGAGAATAATCCCCCTCCTTTATTGCGGACAACTCTCTCATAAATTTTGTCCTCATGCTGGGCCAGATGCAGAGAGGGCTCTAGGCACACCCGCTCCACTAGCGTCTGGTGTGAGCTTCCTTTCCTAATCGAGGTAACTACTGCATGATTGCATGTTACGATTTCGTCGTCAAAGACCATAACTACTTTTCGAGACCTCCTTATTTGATTCATCACAAAGAAGACCTTTCAAGCTCTTTTCGATCTCAGATAAGTACTAGGTCAACATACGGGTCTTCCTATCCTTGTGAAGAATATCGGCGACCTTGTTCACTCTGATCACACATCTGTCTCCTCTTGCCCCATCAACTACCTGCATTCTGCAAGCAACAAAACCGGATGGCACCTTCGAAGTCGGGCAGTGATGATGGTGAGAAGCAGAATGGATCCATCTTCTCCATCTCTGGGCCGGTCATTGTCGCCGAGAACATGATCGGGTGCGCTATGTACGAGCTGGTAAGGCAGACATACCTCAAACGCTGTACAAGTTCACCACGCTGACCGTACTAAAGTGCAAAGTAGGTTATGACGAATTGGTGGGGGAGGTCATTCGAATCGAAGCAGACAAAGCTACTATTCAGGTCTACGAAGAGACTGGTATGTGCAACCAAGTAAGATTACTGGGTCATATTCTGACAAGTCAATTGCAGCTGGCGTAACTGTCGGTGATCCTGTGCTACGAACAGGCAAACCACTCTCCGTTGAGCTTGGACCTGGTCTTATGGAGACTATTTACGACGGTATCCAGCGTCCCCTCAAGGCTATTTCCTCTGTCTCCAGCAGCATTTACATTCCTCGAGGCATTGCTGTTCCCTCGCTCAATAGAGAAAAGAAGTGGGCGTTCACACCTACCATGAAAGTTGGGGATCACATCACCGGTGGCGATGTATGGGGCACCGTGGTGGAAAACTCATTGCTACACGACCACAAAATTCTCATGCCGCCACGAGCCCGAGGGACGATCAAGAAGATCGCGGACAAAGGGAATTACAATGTGGAAGAGAAGCTTCTTACAGTCGAATTCGATGGCAAGGAAACCGAGTATCCCATGATGCATACATGGCCTGTCCGAGTGCCGCGACCGGTGAATGAAAGATTGGCAGCACACTCGCCCTTCATTGTCGGCCAAAGAGTGCTAGATGCCTTGTTTCCTGGTGTGCAGGGCGGCACCATCTGTATTCCGGGTGCCTTCGGATGCGGAAAAACTGTCATCTCACAATCGGTCTCCAAATTTTCCAACAGCGACATTATTGTATATGTCGGATGTGGTGAGCGTGGCAACGAAATGGCTGAGGTGTTGATGGACTTTCCGGAACTGTCGATTACCATTGAAGGTCGAAAGGAGCCGATCATGAAGCGGACATGCCTCATTGCTAACACTTCGAATATGCCTGTCGCAGCTCGTGAAGCGTCCATCTATACTGGTATCACTGTTGCAGAATATTTCCGTGACCAAGGCAAAGCTGTCGCCATGATGGCGGATTCATCTTCGCGCTGGGCCGAAGCACTGCGAGAAATTTCCGGTCGTCTGGGAGAAATGCCGGCTGATCAAGGCTTCCCTGCATATCTTGGTGCTAAGCTGGCATCGTTCTACGAACGTGCTGGTGCGGTGACGGCACTAGGTTCTCCGAATAGGAGCGGGAGCGTCTCTATCGTTGGCGCTGTCTCTCCTCCAGGCGGTGACTTTTCTGACCCTGTCACGAGCTCCACTCTTGGTATCGTGCAGGTCTTCTGGGGCTTGGACAAGAAATTGGCTCAACGCAAACATTTCCCTAGTATCAACACATCGATGTCTTACAGCAAGTATACCACCGTCCTGGACAAGTTCTATGAGAAGGATCATCCAGAATTCCCCCGTCTCCGTGACCGGATCAAAGAGCTGTTATCAAACTCAGAGGACCTAGACCAGGTCGTGCAGCTAGTCGGGAAATCTGCGCTCGGTGACCCTGACAAGATTGTGCTCGATGTTGCGTCAATGCTGAAGGATGATTTCCTGCAACAAAACGGTTACAGTGACTATGACCAGTTCTGTCCTTTGTGGAAAACGGAGTATATGATGAAAGCATTCATGGGCTTCCACGATGAATCACAAAAGGCTGTTAGTGGTGGTTTAAGTTGGGCCAAGGTGAGGGAATCAACAGGTGATATTCAGCATCGCCTGCGAAGTATGAAATTTGAGCTTCCAGAAGATGAGGATGCGGTCTCGAAGAAGGCAAGCTACTCCAAGCACCACCTCCGATGTTGCACACTGACAAGTGAACAGTACGAAAAGTTGCTTCAGGATATGAGTGAGAAATTCGCAAGCGTGACGGACGAGTAGACGACAACTTTCACAAATAACATCAGAGGGAAAGCCCATCATCGATAGTATACTAGACATGTACATCGTATAAAGCTTTGGTCTTCCGCCTGGGCCAGATTATCGAGTGCTTCTGCGCTTCCTCCCTCGTGTCTATCATTATCACTTTCTCCTCCATCTCCTAACTTTAGCACTTGCTGTGATACCGGAGCTGTTGCTCTAGCACAAATGCACCACTTCCCCAGCTGTTTCACTACCAGGCAACCTAGAGTTGCCAAAAAGGTCATCCGACACACCCTCCCCTTCTCATCGCGGTTGGCAAAGGTGAAGCACAGACGCTAGGGTGCCCCTTTGAGTACTCTCTACACTTGTATTGGGTTGCCTTTTATACTCTTTCTGAAATCTCTCATTACGACTCTAATCTACCTTTTCAACAAGTTTCCCACCTTTGCTGTGCATAATGAAGGGAAAGCAAATATGAAACGACTGACAACCTCCTTCTCAACGGCATCACTGTATAGCCCTGCTTACTTCCTAGGGCATCCTGGACAAGGTTTGCTTCAGGGACTCCATGGAAGGGGTAGAATAAGACGGAGATGTTTTTCAGATGGACTTAAGCGACAAGGACTTGAAGGGTAGATCCATCCCCAAGGGGACTTTAAACCATGTCTTTAGCACAGTTATTGTGATGACTCAGCTAGACGGCCAAGACGATTCCTTTTAAATCCTGGCAGCGCGGGCAATCTTCAACCCATCACAACAATGCGACCTAGGGGCCTGCGCTGCCTGTGTTGTCTGACCTGGAAGCAATGCAACGGTAAACAATGCGGAACTTAAAAGATTCATCTTCGAAGCGCTGTTTCTCCTTCCTTCCCTACCCATTTCCACGGTTCCGACGAATAGATGGTCAGATATGAAGCATTTGCCGCTGGATGTGTGACATGTGTGTTTCAGCAATTGGCCGGCCACCGGTCACCAAGCCATCTTTTATATCCCCGGCGGCAGTGTTGAACCTGATGAGTTTTCGTTCATCCTTTACCCAAGGGTGTGTAGGCCAGACCAAGTTGCTTTTACTGCTGAGCCAAAGGCTCTACCTAGCCACTAATGATCATATCACCTTGTGCTTGATTCACCTCCCAGCTCTCTTACGTTCATGTAGAGCCATCTTCCAGCTTTCATCACGTACTACGACGAGTTGGTTTAACTGACAGTGATTGTATGACGTGAAGGATGGCAGCTCGATCGAACACAGCTGATGTCTGTGCACACCTCCATTTGTTCCTGCACCTGCTGATGCTACTTCAGTCCAGAGCGAGCCGATTCCACAGATCCAGTGTTAGCGATTCAAGGTCATCCTCGGAGTCGTCGACTACCGAGCGGAGCCTTCTCACATCGAGTCTGACGAGTTTACGAGGGTCTCTGAGGCGCAACCACCCAGAGAAGAAGGAGACACAACCCACAGTCTACCTTATAATTCAACGACCTGAGCCTAGGAATGTTGGCATTTCATGGACCATCGCGATCCGCGTGCCAGAGGGACCGGATTACATGTTCGACATCTTGCCCAACAACAAAACTCAAAAGGGCTTCCAGGTTCGGGAAGTGAGAGTGGCTGATGCTACTATGAAATCTGCGTATTTCCAGGCCACTATCAAGGTGGGCATTGTACCAATCAATGGCCCTGCCGCGGAACACTCGCTCGGGCATGTGGCCAACAGTTTCAAAAGCCAAAAGATCAGCACCGATAAACCCACCGGCATGAGCGTTATATGGGTTACCGATGTCCTAGACAAACTGAAAAGAACCGAGTTTCTCCATTTTGAAAGAGGCGCCAATGAGAAGATTGAGGAACAGATTCGTAATATGGAGAAGAAGCTGAAAGCAAACTCAAGCGCAGGACGTCCTTGAGACTTCGATGTTCTTCGTCGGGTCCTAGTCCATTCATATTTGACGCTGTTGTGCTCTCCTTGATCATATGCATGGCCAATGCTTAGCTCAGGTGGCATAGACTTGATTGACCAGACGAAAAGGCGACGAAAAGGTGTGTATTCGGACTGCTGTCGATGAAATGGTCGGTATTTTCGTTGCCTTAAACATAATATGAGTACGACAAGTCACTGTCGCATAATAGGCTGTTTCATCTTGTTCTGTACAGCGCACAAGAGTATGGCAAAGATCATTAGCTAAGCACACGTTTGTTGTCTCTGTGCCCCGAGTTATGTAAGCCTATGTAGAAGGATCAGCATTTCGTTGAGTTCTACTTTGTCCAGCCCCAAAACAGAACCGCCCTGAGGTGAGTGCACTCACTGTGCACGTTCTCATATCTTACAACCCATTTTGAAGCTGTAGCACATTGATGAGTGGTGGGTACTACTGCCACAGCATAGGATTACTGTTTGACTGCTCTCGCATCAGAACTCTCACGCGTATCACAAGCCAAACTATCCTAACTGAGGCAGGATGGGCATCCTCTTGAACAGCTAACTTAAAGTCTAGGTCTGTTCAATGCCGCCTAAGACAGGGGCTTGAACAAAGAGACACATCTTTACAAGATCCGCATTCGAGACTCTGGCAGAGAAATCCTTCTTCTCCTACGTACACCCTGTGGTGCATGTACCGTACGACCTAGAGAATGGGATTACTCGACCTGCCCGTCGAGCTTCTTGTGCTCCTGCCCCTTCACCTCCACAACATCGAAGATTTCATGAACCTCACCTCTAGCTGTAGCCGACTCCGAGACGTCCTCGGCCAACACATAACACCAAATACGATCCTATAACTTGCTGCCGCATCCTCGCGCTTATCCTGGGGGCTAGACACACACTTTCTCGTCGCCGCCACCGCACGCCAAGTCAGTGAGTGGGCACTCCTAAGCCATGAAAACACCGAAGCGCTACGCACCGCATTTCAGGGTGGAATCGAGGCACTGCTCTCGCTCTGCCTCTCCCGCGCTGGTCTGACGATGCCAGATATCCGCCGCCTGCACGCCAGCCGTTGCTCGACCATCAGCCCAGTTGCTGACATGATCACCTGCCGCGTTGGTGTGTTCGAGCCGACTACTCTGGAGGTCGAGTCGGAGCGGTCGCTATTCCAGATCGTCATCTACGGTGAGCTGTTCGGCGAGAGTATGCACGCCTGCTGCTCCGACCCCCCGGGCCCGCGTTTTGATCTGGATCTACGCCTCGACTACATCAAATACTGCATCCCTGACTTCAGGTGTTGGCCCGGCTACCCGGGCTTCATCGTGCTCAATGTCGGACCATACGCCTCAGGAAACGAAAACGTTATTGAGGAGATCAACGATTGGGATCAGGTTGCCCTCTATTATCTCCTGAGATGTCAGACGTGGCGGGAGGCGTGGGCAGCGGTTCGGTTGCAGATCGGCCCAGACTTTGTCGAGGGCTGGCGCCAAAAAATGTGGTCTTCGAGCGTACAGTGCCAGGGGTTGGAAGGGCTGCAGATGCTGCGACCTGGGGGGTGGAGATCTGGAGGATGAGACTGGTGGAGATGAGGGCCAAGATCGAGGCGCTCGACGAAAGATGTAGGCCACAGATGCGTCGGTTCGGCCGCCGGGGGGCTAGCGCTTCTGATGCGCCGAACCTGGCCGATGAGGTGTATGTTGCTGTTGCTGGCTATTGAGAGCCCTGAACAGATATCGGCAATAGCTCGTCCTGGATATGGCTCACGCCGTGGTGGAGAGGTGGTGGGTAGCTACCACAATGGCTCCTGATACTATTGTTTGATACTTTGCTTCGCTCGATAGGATACTCGGGACCGCTGTTATACCCATAAATCGTATCTCATTCTGAAAACTAGACAGCGATGTGATACAGATTCTGGATGACGAGATACTCCGTGCTACCGTACTAGTAGTATAAAGGCCTCCCTTTTGCTGGGCTTGGCGTTTTGGCTGGGCGAAATCTTGGCACACAATAATTTCTTCCGCGGTGCTGAACAGAACAGTGCTGAACAATGCTGGACAGGGCTTCGATTTCTCGAGGCAGCAACTGACAAGGTACGAAGACCTCGCCTGACACAGCCGTCACTCCCTCCGTGTCTTTGCTGTCGACCGCAAAGGATGGCTCCTGCCTTCGACAAATGCCCCACGAGGCCGGCACACATCGACGCAATACTCAACGGCCTCGATCGTTACAACCCGGAAACCACCACCATCTTCCAGGACTACGTGTCGAGTCAGTGCGAGGAGAAAACGTTCGATGCATATGCCTGCCTGGCGCTGTTAAAACTGTATGTTAGTTCTTCGTTGCTCTCCCTGCCGCATGCACAAGCACCATGTGATGAATAAGAAGAATACGTTTCCTATTACCCGAGTCCTCCCAACTGGAGGGCAATGGAGAAAGGATTATTAGCTCTATCTGAAAGAAGCAGCTATACCACCTCTGTCTTGAAACCCTGTCCAATATACCTTGCTGATACTGCATTGCCCTCGCAGATACCAATTCAACCCGCACCTCATCCACCCGGAGACGGTCACCAACATCCTCGTCAAAGCGCTGACCGTCTTCCCCTCGCCGTCCTTCAGCCTCTGCCTCGCCCTGCTCCCGCCGTCCACGATCCCCTACCCCTCTCCGCCCTCAAAGGCGACGCCGCCGCCTCCGTCCCCACCACCGACTTTACCGAGTCGATCCAGAAACTCACCCAGCTCTCCACCCTCCTCGAATCCGCCCAGTACGCCCTCTTCTGGAGCACGCTCGCCTCCGACGACCTGTACGCCGATCTCTGCGCCGACGTGGCCGGCTTCGAGGATCTGGTCCGCATCCGCATCGCCGGCGAGGTCGGCAAGGCCTTCCGCCAGATCGATCTCGACATCCTGGGCAGCTGGCTGGATCTGGACGGAGAGGCCTTGGCCAAATTCGCCACCGGCCCCTGTGGCTGGAGGATCGAGGCCGGTAACCAGGTGCTCGTGCCGTCGAATGCGGAGAATGAGGCCAAGAGTGAGGTCAAGGGGGAGAGGGTCGGGGTGGAGATGTTTGGCAGGGTGGTCAGGAGGGGGTTTGAGCAGCCGGCGTGAAAAAGGCAGGGCAAGGGTCACATCTCATGGGATGCGGTCGGTGGTGGGGAATGCAACTCTAAGGAAAAAGGAAGACTACAGATTGGATCTTTCCCATGCTCCTGCAATGGTCCTTCCCGGGAGACACGGCGTCTTTACTGTTGGTTCGCACCGTGGACTGTCATACCCGCTGGGGCCGCTTTACACAGATGTGGTAGAGCGATACGATGCGCTGGCTCTCCTAATTGGGATTTATCCAGGGCAGCGGCGGAGTAGATCCTTGCATGGGAGAACCCAATGCACACGCACGCCGATCTTCGTGTCAAGACATTTACCTTCATCCAGTTCAGCTCGCAAGAATGCAAGACCCGGCTGGCTGATGCATGTCTGCTCTTATGTAGGTAGCACATCAGCATAGCTTTGGCGGCTGATGGAGAGAGTCTCGGAACGAAACCGTCAAGTGTCAAGCGTAAAACTGGTTAAAAAGATAAATAACCGGACAAAAAGATAACTCCATACCCCTTCGCGGCCATCAATCAGCCTTCCAAGCCAGACAACCCTGGTTGAGTAGTATCATGGAATACCAAGTACTATGCTTTTCATTCTCTCCCCTACCACCGCGCGGCAGCGCTCGTGTCGCTCGTGTTCCCACCACAGCCGACCAGCCCGCCATGCCATGCCATGCCATGCCATGCCATGCCATGCCATTGAGACTCTCTCTCATCTGGCTAAGATGAACCAGCCCAAAAAAAACAAACAAGCAGAAGTAAGAAAGAAGCAAATGATCGTAGTAAGCACTCTGTGCCCCCTTTCTGCATATTTGGATTAAGATCTTTAGAAAAAAGCCCAAGTATAATCATTTCTTATGAGATCCGATGAAAATCAGTCCGCAACCCTAATAGAAATCAACGACAATGCTGTTGCTTACTCATTCCCCCCCTTCGTACGATTGCCAATGCTGCTCTTCCGTTGACTATGGCTACCACCGGTCCCTACTCTCATCTCGTCAATTAACTCGGTCACCTGACACACCAGACGTAGTACAAAGTCTCTATCTGCTTTCATGCATTCTGGTACGCTCTCAATGCTCCAAGATTTCATCCCAAGCCAAGTCACGAGACATAAGCGAGAATATAATGCTGCTTTCAACAACTGGAATTGACCTGATCTGGTAGCCTAGACACTCGGTACAGGTAACAAGCTACCTCAGCCTTCCGGTCATTTTGAAATGCTTTCGGAGAGTTGGTCCTGGTCGACAGGAAATACCCAGAACAGTACCAACAGCAGACGTTCCTCAACCCAATGTGACAGACGTGAGCTAGAATATAATATCGGCGATGCGGAGCTTGTGAGCAAAGCGCGAGGGACATGGAAGAAGTGGTCGACACTCATAACCCTGTGCCTTTTCGTCTTCATCTCTTCTGCCCAGGCTTTCCGAAAAGTTCGACGTTATGGTTGGAGACCCCACGAAAAAAACCTTGTGAAAGTGAGAGTTGAGAAAAGCCAAAGGTCGTGTAGAAAGGTCGAATTTCACACAAACTTGTGAGGTATCGAAAGCGAAAAGCAAACACCAAGATAACAGCTAGTAGCTCTTAGGCGACTACAAGCGAAATTGGCTCTATCTTGTTCAGCATTCGAATATCTGCGGATAGAAAAGAGTGTTCACCTTTCACTCTTGGCCACAGTACAAGACTTCGTGGTCCAGAACCGACGATCTTCAAACGCAGCAGCACACGGTCTAAAGGCAATGAGTCGTTGCAGAAAGCATGCCTTGAATGAAACCTGCTTGTTGTCTACGCTATCGTGGGTTGGTGGACTTCACATTGGCGGACTTGGCGGTGGGCTCGATGTCGGCAGACTCGACGGGAATGGTGGACTTGGCAGCGGACTCGATACCGGTGGACTTGGTGGCGACGGTGGGCTTGGAGGCGGTAAATTTGGTGATGGCGGGTCTGGTGACGGCGTATTCATTAGCAGCGTACCTGGTGACAAGGGAGGACTGGGGGTTCGGTTACCAGATATAGCAATATCGGAGAAGTAGGGGTCGTAGAGGTAGGAGTCGTAGGGGTCAGTTTCATAATACTGCTCTTCAAAGTCGTTGGGAGACACAGTTTCAAATGCGTAGTTTCTGACAAGGCCGCTCAGGTACTCGGTTTCTCCTTCGAGCTCCTCATTTTCCTTGCGAGTTTGTGCTAGCTGTTGTTCGAGATCTCGCACCTCATTCTCTAGATTCTCGATCCTGCCGTCAGCACCCCTTTTGGCAGCAAAGAAAGCCATGATGAGATCGGTTGAGAGCTGGGCGTCTTCCTCGGTCGCCTTGCGGACGCCTTCCCATTGCATCACCTTCTGACCAGCGCGGACGATGAAGTTCGTGATGGCCTTTCTGATGTCTGTAGTGTCTATCTCGAGCCGGTAAAGCTTCATCAGAACGTTTCCAAAGCCGATCTGGTTCTTTGCGCTCCATCCCTTCGGGTCAAGGGGAGGTGTCTTGTCGGTTTCGTAGAAGATGACCAGTTTGTCGTTCATATACTTCTTGAGCGGTTGGAGTTCGTATTTATCAGCGATAACATAGATATCGAGGTCACGCTCGACGTCGCTAAACAACGGATCGCACTTTCGAAAGGCTTCTTGAGGGCTTAGTGTGTAAATGTATCGGAGCAGGGCTTGTACTGCTTTCGGCTCGTCGTCATCGATATTGATTCTATGTGATTCTTGCTCCTAGGCAAGAGTTGCCTTCAGCCCTCCGAAATACTTATAACAATGCAGCTGGAACGGGACGGTACCCTGAAGCCGCTTTGACAGCACGCTCGAAAGAAAGCGCACTGTTTGGCAAGAACATCTCGATGGCATGCCCATGTCCAGCCTTTACAACTGACCAATAAATCTGGCTTGCTCGGATCATATGCAGAACTCAACAAAGCATTAGAAGAGTATGCAAGGCAAGTGCTGCTGGGATACCCACGCAAGGCCTGGCAAAGGCGATGGACAGTCCACAAGTCTAGGCAATTTCGATTCCCAGCTCTTTGGAACCTCATAGGAACTTGATGCCATGGTCTGCTCTTGGTCCATATCACTCCTAAGGCTGACAAAGACAGAGGGAGACCCAATACTGGTTCTAGAATTTTGTGAGCATGTTTGGGTGGGCCAAATGTCGTGCGACGTTGGCTGGCCCAAACCAATTGATGGGCTCGAAACAAGGTGGCTAGCCAATGGCAAGGTGCTGATTGAACAAAAGTGGTTTTACAAAATAGCACATCGAATAGCTACGAGTGGCACAGGCGGACATAAACTTTCAGGCAGGCTGACACCCAGACAGTGACTCTATCAAACATGGAATGCCCTACAAAGAGTGTAGTCAATCTGTACGCCACCGGGCCTTGTAATACAGGGAAGGATAAATGAAATTGGGCTAATAGTATGATCCAAATCAGAGTTGAGTGGAGTGTATGTCGAAAGTCGTCTGAGAGCGATCATCCTCCCGTCTTCTGCATCTCATGCCTCGAAACCATGCTCTCTCACCTCGCTCAAATCATGCGCAGTCGACATCTCCGTTCTTTCCCCCCAAGACGGTGCCCCTTTTGCCGGGCTCACAGTCAAGAACGTCAAGGGGTCCCTTCTGGTCTGCGGAATCGTGAGCGGTCCAGCACATATCACCGGGGTAGAGGATAGCGTCATGGTGGTCACGTGCAGACAATTTCGCATGCACGAGTGCAAGAATGCTTTTAGCGTGCCAAGAATTTTGGGTCTTGGCATGAATTTTTTCCCATCTTCGGAGGATCAACGCCATCAAGGTCAACTTCTACATGGAATTGCGCAGGTCACAGCGCCAGCCAAAGCCTAGAACTGTATGGGAAGAAAAGGGTGCTCCTTCTGCAGCTAGAGACCCCAAAATCACCAAGAGAACTGACCGAACAGAGCAGAAAACGGCGCTTAAACCTGTTGCCAGTGGCCCTCTTCTGAGAACGCTCGAAATTGATGTTAATCGACTTCCTGACCTCCCTGCGTACGAACCGCCATTGAAATTACGATTTGAGCGTTCAAAATCGCTTCTACAAGGTCTCTCGCAGCTTGATACGTTCTAAAAACTCTTTACGCCCTCTATTATTGACAGAATTGTTGAATCAATAAATAGCTATGTAGAAAATACTTGAAATACGGATTTCGAAGAAGAAGAAGATCCTGAATCCTTTTCTAGACCCTGGAAACCAGTTAATATAACTAACATTTAGTGATATATTAGTTGTTTGCTTTATATAAGATATTACAGATTATTTAAATATAAAAAACATTAGAGCGAGTCTAGTTATTTAGGCGAATTCATAAGCCTAATAAGATATAAGCAGATTTATTAATATTTTATACTTTAAGATCATATAACTGCTCTTTATCAAGAGCATAAGACGTTTGCTTAGCAAGTAGAGCTAATTAGGTCTATAATCAAGCAAAATTATAAAGAGAATTAGTATCTAAGCTCTTATTTAGCTATTAATAAGGCTATAATAGTCTATAGAGGCTGTAATACTTATAAGGTTAAGCTTCTGAACAAGCTAATTAAAGAGGGCTATAAGGTATAGGTACTTAGTAACACTAGATATATCTATAATTAGCTATAGTATAACTATATTAAAAGACTAGAGGATATCCTTTAAGAAAGCATCAAATTTGATTAAGTTATTAAAAAAGAGCTTATAGAGCTTACTAAAGTATATCTAGCACTAATGTTTGCTCTTATTATTCACCTTATATAGTATTTGTATTAAATTTATTTAATGCGTATTTTTTGCTTCTTTTTAGATAATCTCTTTCTAAATATTAATGTTGCTTAATTATTATTTGCTCTTTATATTTGCTATATAAGTATTACTTACAAAAACGCTTAAGGAGTCCTTGTATAGATTCTATAGCTAAAGGAGCATAACTATAGCCTTATTTAGAATTCTATACTTACAGAAGTTATTAATAATATGCTTGTTTTTTTATAATAAGATAATAACGCTATTATAGACTATATAATTACTTAT